AGGTGTTGGGAACACAACCCGAGGTGTAACGTGAGGCTGAGACTCACAGACCGGGCTGCTGCGTGCGGCCGGCGGAGGCAGGGGCGGCAGGGGCCGCCCGCCACACTCCCAGCGGCTCGTGATGCGTGCCACGGTCGCTGTGCTACCTCGTGGCACGCAACCTTTGTAACGAGGCACCCTCATCCTCGGCGAAGGCGCCACGCCGCGGGGCACAGCGCCGCGCCGCGTGGGGGGGGGCGCGGCCGCCGAGCTCAGCCAGCCAGCGTCCGAGAGGGCCATTCGGGCGCGAGGGTGCGGCGGCAACAGCGCGCCACGAGTGGCCACGCCTTGTGAAGCGCGGCACGAAACGCACGCGAGAGGAGCAGAGGGCCGGGGCCGAAGTCGCCTTGGTCTGTCGGGCACCGCGAGAAAGACTCGGGTCGCACCACGACGAGGAGTGTAGGTCAGCGAAGATCCATGAACACTCATGCGTGCGGAGTTGATACTTCACCGCTTTCGTTGCTCTCGGCCACCCTGTCTCAGTCCTCCATCCATGTCCTACGGCCCTCAGCGAGCTCGTTCGCTTCGCTGAAAGTTGTTCATGCACTCACGCCGAGGCCGGTGAGTGTCCAAACAGCGCACCCAGGCGCGTGTGTGGCGAGGGTGCCCCGGTGCAGGAGGATAGGTGTGGAGGGACGTGTCCGCCTGCCGGCCCGGGCCGCTTGCGGCGCCTGTGCGCACTGCTGCGCCACCAGGTGGTCGCGGCATGATGTCGTGTCTACGCAGCGCTGCTTCGGGGTGACGGGGGGGCGATGCTGGACCTGCGCGGAAACGATATCAGACCTATGGTCGCCCAGCAGATCATCAACGTGCACGTGCGCACCCCGGACATGATCCGAGGGCGAGGTTCGCCGCGCACGTGACGTGAGCTTCAGACGTCGCGGGCGGTCACGCTCCGCGTGCGCTGGGCTTGCGAGGACCGCGCCGCATCGGTGCATCAGCCTGGTGCGGGGACGTCGTGCGGGACGGGGACTGCGTCGCGTGTGCGTGGCCGTGTGGCGGCCGACGTCAGACCTCGGTCGCAGAGGGCAAGAGCGCAGTGTGCGCGAGCGGTGGTGGGGCGCCGACCGCGGCGCGACGACGTGTGGGCCGCGCCGCGCGTCGCACGGCCTCGTGCAGGTGTGCGCGGGGGCAGGACGCGGGTGCGCAGCGCCTGTACGCGGCCCGACAGCTGCAACTGGTCCGGGAGCGGGGGCGGGCGAAGTACACGGCCGCGCAGGTGCGGTGCGCAGCGGCGGGCCGTGCCGCAGCGGCGGCGCCGGCGGGTCTGGATGTCGTCGCGCGTGCGGGTTACACGATGCCGGCGGCACGGTGCAACTGCAGCCCACGCGAGCAGCAGGCGCGAGGGTGCACGCAGGCGCCGACGTGTCGAAGCTGGATCTGGGTCACAGGAGACCGCTGCGCAGGTCGCTGGCCGACCAAAGGCCCGCCCGAGGCGCCGGAAGGGCGTGCGCGCCCTGCCGGTGCGAGGGCGAGGGCGAGGTGGCACCGCACCACGTGGGTGGCTGCTGCTGCCTGGCGGAGCCGCACCAGCGCTGCAACGCCAAGCGGACCGTCTCGGACGAGGAACCTGGCAGGGCCGGAGCAGACGGGCGCCTGCGCGCCGCCGCGGGTGAAATACGGACAGTGGCCGCGAGCAGTCCGGCCGCCCGCACGCCGGCCAGGGCGCCGGCCCGGCTCACGACGCGGCCGCGCTTCCGTGCGGCCGCGCCGTCCCACGTCCGCCCCGCCGCGGGCCAGGCAGGCGTCGCGGGGCCGCGGGTCAGATTCTGTGGCCCGAGCAGAGTGGCCGCGGGGGGGCGATCGGTGCGAACGGCGCGGATCGGGATGCACAGGTCGAGCCGTGACTTCCGGTGGGCGTGGAGGAGCGGCGCGCGGCCCGATGATTCGCTGCGCCGCGCCGGCACGACGGCTGGGAAAGGGGACTGACCTGATGGACAGTCGGGCGGCCCCGGGGCCCGCTGTGGGGCCCAAGGCGCGGAATCAGCCGCGGCGCCCGGCACAGCTGCAACCAGTGTGTGGGAGCGGTCATGTCGCAGGCGTGCGCGGCGATGATTCGCCGGCAGCGGCGGAGCACGCGCGCTCGTTTCGACACGCGCCGTGCGAGGCCGAGGCAGTCGGCACGCGCCCCGAGGTAGCGGCGGATCCGATGCATTGGCATGTGAGGTGCGAAGCCCGCTCCGTTGAGGTGAGCCCCGGCCCTGTCGGATGCGAGCCCGCGTCGATTCCACCGTTGTGGTCGTGGCTGCCTCCAGCGGCGGTCCAGGTGGCACGCGCAGCGATGTCGCGCCGTGTCGCATACAGAGCGCTGGCACATGCCGCGGAGAGGCGCATTACGCCTCAGCGACGTCGGGAAGCTGCTGTAGACAGAGAGCACGTTGGGTGTTGGGCCCTCTTCCAGGGTGCACGCGGCTGCCTGGCGCGGTCGAGCACGGAGCCGCTCGGTGTCGTCATGTCAGCGCCGGCCAGCGCGCAAACACTCCGAATACCGCCCCCGCCGACGAGCGCGCCGCCGTGCAGAGGCGCCTCTCCCTGCACCTCCCGTACCGCGCCCACGGGGCCCTCGAACGCGTTTCCAGGTGCCACATTGCGTCTTCTGGCCCGCAAACGCTGTGCAGGGGCGCCGCTGTGGCCGCTGGTGCGGTATTCTGGGCGCTGTCACACCCTCCGACGTGCTCGCACGCTGGGCGGGGCGTCCCGGGCTTCCGGGGGCGACGCGCGTGTGTTTGTGCTGGCGCGCAGCAGGACATGATGCCTGCGGCCACGCGCGCCCACAGCGCGGGCGTCGGCGGCGTGAGGGCGCGCGGCGCCGCCGTGCGGGTGTGCGGCCACCAACGGGGTGGACCGGGCAGCGCGGGGGCCGGGGCGCGCGGCGGGGCACCGAACCGCGTGCTGGCGCGCCCCGGACGTCGGCGCGGGGCATTCCGTCGTCCTGGCGGGCGCGCTGACCGGCTCCTTCCACCCTCCCGCGCCCTCCAGACACATGCTCACCGCTGGCACGTGACTCGCCTCTCCGCCCCCCGCCTGGCACCACACGCCACGCGCAAGGTGAGCCCCGGCCAGCCCGCACTGTCGCTGGCGCCGGCATCGCCCGCGGGCGACCGCCGCCGCGACGACTCGCGCTGCGCTTGCTACGACATGCGACAAGCTGTGCGTGGGGCGCGGCGCGCGGCGCGCATCCAGACACGAGGCGTCCGTGCGCCCCGGCTGGTTGTGTCCATGCAGGAGCTCGCTGGTCGCCCGCACGCCGTCGCGATGGCCATCCGCGCGCGTCCAACGCACGTCGCGGCCGACGGAAAGTGCGCGGCCGGGGCGCCCCGGGGTGTTGGCGCCCCCCTGCACGCGCAGCAGGCTCGCGGGGGCGTCGGCGTCGTGGGGCCGGCGCGCCGCCCCGCCGTGCGAGGGGTTGCCGCGTGCGCCGTATCTGAGAGAGCAGGCAGTAGTAGGAGGCCCGGAGGCGGGCGACATGGGCGGTGCCCTGCGTGTTTTTCGCAGCTCGATGGCATCCGTGGTCTCGACTGGCGCGAAGTCTGGCGCGGGTGAGCCCGCGGCGCCGTGCGTCGCCCGCGGCGCGGCCGTGCCTAAGCGGCGCCCGCATGACTGCTGTCGCGGATCTCGTCCGGATCTGGCGCTGACAAACTACGATGCGCCGCGCGCCGCGCAGGGTTATGACGCGAGAGCGCGTTGCGGGGCGGCGAGGGGCGCTGGCTCGCCGACACGTCCCGCTTCCAAGGGCCCACCATCCTAGCAGCTAATCACAGCAGCTTCCGCCGCGCTGCCTTATGACGCGGCGTGCTTCCTTCAGAGCGGCGTGCAGCGCTTGCCCGATGTATTGACGATCCGCCGCACGTGCGCGGAGCGGACAGGGCGCGGTGTCGCGTGCATCGCAGCCGCCTGAGCTCCAGCGAGGGGCACAGCGGCGCTGCTGCGGGTGAGGATCCAGCACGCGCCCCACGCCCGCAGCCGCATCCTCGGTGCTGTGAGCGCGATGTGGTGGGATCTCGGATTGGTTGGACGCGCGTCGGGGCCGTTTGCGACCATGGCAACCCCGGGACAGGCGTCGCCCCGCCTGCGCGCGTGGTGCGCTCGCAGCGCAGTCGCACGCGTGTCCGGGGGTGCGGGCAGTGCGGGCCGAGGGTCTGGCGTGGCCTGTGATCGGGGTGTAGCGGCGTGCGTGCGTTCCCGCGGCGCTGGCTGCTGCTGTCTGCTGCTGCTAGGTGTGCCGCGCATGCAGGCGGCGCCGATCGACACTGGGCGGCAGCACTCCCCCGATCAACCACCCCTGATACCAACGGGCCGTTTGACGCATTGTTCGCTCCACCATACCGAGCCAAACGCGCGCTGCACGGAGATTCCCTGCGGCCCGCTCGCCAGCTGGTGTGCGCGCGCGCACGTGCTAGAGACGATATGACAGGCACCGTCCGTCCGGGTGGAGCATGTTTGCGTTACGTGTGATCGGTTCACAGTATCAACGAGAGGCCGCCGGCCGCACTATGTGCGCACGGGCGCATCGCTGCCGTCCACCGCCCACCGCCATCACGCTCGTCCTCCCCGCGAGGCTCCGCCGCAGGTCGCTCCGGTCCGCATGCGACGTGTCGCGGGTATCGTCGCCCGAAACATGCCGCGGAGGACACTCGCGTCCCCACCGACTCTCTTCGCTCGCCGGAACTCGACGGGGCAACCGGGGCACGCAGGCGCCCCCTCTCCGCCGCCGCGTTCCGACGCCCGGGGCAAGATGGCACCAGTCTGTGCGGTCGATGGGGTTGTTCAGTTTGACGACGCTTCGACAGCGCCCACCAGCGGCCCCGTCGGGCGCTGTACGCGCGTCAGGAACGCCCCGGAGGTGCTGGGGATGTTGGGGTGCTTCTGGCCTCTGTGGGGCTCATTGGGGGCGCAGCGCACCCGTCGGCGACATAGCTGCACGCGCGAGAGACGCTCCAGATCGACACAGAGCGAGCACGATGGCCACCGCGGACATCAAGGTCGACATGCAGGAGAAGGCGCAGCCCCGCTCTGCGATGCCCGCCGCTGCCTGGGTGGCGATCGGCGCGGTGAGTGCTGGCCCGATGCGAGTGTTTGCTGCCCAGATGCACTCTTCACTGTATCGAGGAGGCCGCACGCGCACTGTTTGGCGCGCGTCGCCGCGGACGTAGCGGGCCGCGAGGTGCTACTACATTCCCATCCAACCTGACGGCGGCAGGGCCCTTGTGCGGGGAAAATCGCCCTCAATGCGCCGATACAGTCGGCAGCCGCAAATGTAGAGGCCATCGCCGCGCGCCCGCCGCGCAGCCTGCGGCGCCTGTCGCGCCGGCGGCGGACACGCACCTTCGGCATCGCTTCGTCATGGCCCGGCGGCGCGATCGACCGCGCGATGAGTCCGATTCGTACGATAGGCTCGATCACGATTACCGATATCGTCGCATTCAGCGCGACGGGCATCCCGAAACGCGCGAGTCGACGCCGCCGCGCGCTGATTCCAGTCGGCCACCAGCAACTCCGCGCCTCACGTCCCCGCCGCGCCCCCCGCTGCCCGCAGCTCTCCGCGCTCTTCCTCGGTACCCTCGGCTGGGCCATCGGCGCCACCGCCGAGTGGCAGCAGGCCAAGGACATGAACGTCCCGGAGAACTTCCGGTCGTTCCAGAAGCTCACCGACCCCTGGACGTACGGCGACATCCTCGGTCCCCAGGTGCGGCCGCCCCGCTGCGCATCGAGCGCGCTCGGCGCCGGCTCGCGGCCGCGCGGCGCCGTTGCGCCCGCGCGCCGCCCTCCGACGCGAGTGCGTGCACGTCTGCGCGTGTCGTGCCGCGCCCGCGTTGCGACGTCGTCGGAGCCCGCGGTGTGGTGACGTTCGTGCAGATCTGGGGCGGGCTGTGCGAGACGGGCGTCTCGCAGACCCCGATCGACCTCGCGATCCCGGCGACGGTGGGCGACAAGGCGGGCGCACCGATGACGCTGAACTGGGCGGAGCCGGGCTTCAAGCTGGACGGCGAGGTGGTCGACTCCGGGCACGGCACGATGCAGATCAACTTCGCGGCGGGCGGCACGCTGACCAAGTCGACCGGCGAGGTGTACCAGCTGGCGCAGATCCACTGCCACGGCCCCTCGGAGCACCTGCGCGACGGCCGCGGCTCGCACATCGAGTGCCACTACGTCCACCTGCGCGACAACCAGGGCGCCACGGAGATCGCCGTCGTCGGCGTGTTCCTCAACGGCAACGGCAACGGCAACCCGCTGATGCAGATCATGCTCGACAACGCCCCCGCCAAGCTCACGAGCTACTCCGAGATGTTCGAGGCGGAGGTCTACACCAAGGACGACATCCCCGGCGCCGACCACTCGCACCGCAAGCTCCTCGGCGGCGCCAAGAACCCGGGCATCCCCGTGCAGGGCATCGAGCCCGCCACGATGCTGCCGACCAACCGCCGCGTGGCGACCTACTCGGGCTCGCTCACCACGCCGCCGTGCACGGAGGGCGTGTCGTGGTTCGTCATGACCGAGGACGTGACCGCGTCCGCGGCCCAGGTCGTCGCGTTCCTCGACTACGTCGGCAACACGGAGATCGCCGTCAACAACCGCCCCGTGCAGCCCCTCAACGGCCGCAAGGTGGAGTTCCACTCCGGCTAAGCGGACGCCGGAGACCGATGTACCCTCCCTAGGCAAACCCTTCTCGCGGCTGGGCCCGCCAGTGTACGCGAGGACAAGATGTAGATATAGTGCGCAGCTGTGCACACTGCCGCGGATCTCAGGTCCATGTCGGGACCATGTCCGGCGACGGCACCGCCCGTGCGCCTTCGCGTGAAGGCGTGCGTGAGCAGCTAGGCCCCGGCGCCTGACACTGAGTCGCTGTACTGTGATGAGAAACAACTTCTAAAGGTGTCCGACACTGTCATGGCATCGCAGTGCGTGGCCCTCGAGCGGCGCCGCCCTGGCCGATCGGGGAGAGCCACACTGCCTGCAGGCGTCGTGCGCTCTCGTCTGACCGCCACATGACGTCACGATGTGTGGTCAGCCTCATGTGCCCTCAACGTTGGCCCCCCCCGGACATCGGTCGGCGACGACACAACGCCCTCGGCTCTTGCGGGGTCGGCAACCTCCGCCTCTGTCACAATTTGCACAATTTGCGGCTTGCGTCGTCCAGGTGCGTCGCGCAGCGGTGTTCCCGCCAAGCGCTGGCCTGCTCCCGGGGCGCCGGTCGCGGAGCCAGGGGGCGCCGCGGGCTGCCGTCGACGATGCGGCACGAACTTTCAGTAGCCACGTGCGTGAGCGGATGCACTGCTCTGGAATTTCGCGACCTGAAGCCGCGTGCTTCGCTCGCTCCCCTCTGCAGGTGTGTGCGTGCCTCGCCGGGCAGAGCGCGGTGTCTCGTGACGCGCGCTGGCAGTGACAGCGTTCAGTGATACTCGGAGATCGTGCAGCGGCCTTCCAGGCGGGTTCGGCGGCCACGCCTGTGCAGTAAGGCGCACCTCTAGGTGGCCCGTCCCCACCCCACGACGACAGGAGCATCCACGTCTGCGGCGATGGTGAGCACTTCCCCGCTCTCCAGTAGCCTGTCATGCGTGTTCGCTCTCCCGTGGTGCGCACAAGGCGGATGCAGAGGGCGTCCAGCTGCCGTCCGTTGCTCGCGCCCTGCCGAGACGTTGTCCGACGTCGACTCCGAGGCGCGCGGCCTGAACGGTATCCTCGCGACGTTGTCACGGTCGCGCAGGGTCTCGGCAGCGCTACCTCGACGTCGGCGCTGTTCGAGCGGGTGCTGGTCGAGGTGCCTGGTGGCGTGCTGGACAGGCTGTCGAACGAGGACAAGACCAGCCTGGCTGGAGTGCGATGGAGCGCGTTGGAGGCGGTGCTGCGGGGGAGCGACGCGACGCTGAAGGTGGACCCGGGCCGGCCAGTGCTGTACGTGCTGGCGCGGGTTCTCAAGGGGGGGGGAGTGTCGCGGACAGATCGAGTATGGGGGCGTGGAGGTGCCGGCGACGGTGGCGGGGTCGTTCGCGGCGGCGTTGAGGGACACGGGTGGCGTCCGTGACGGGTCCGTGACGGAGTGGGCGCTGTTCGTGTGGCGGGTGCTGGAGGCGGCGGCGAGGAGCGAGGAGGGGCCGCTGCACGTGACGGGGCTGCATGTGCCGCGCGACGTGGTCTTCGACAGCGAGGCGCGCGGCACGGCGGGAGAACTGCTCGCGCTGCGGCTCCTCCTGGAGCACCCGGCGGTGCGCGGGCACGTGCGGCATCTGTCGCTCAGGGCGTACGAGGAGGACCAGGCCGGCGTACTGCGGGGCTGTGTGCGCGGGCTGACGGCGGTGCTGCGGAGGCTGAGCGTCAGGGGGAGTCCGATCGAGGACGAGCAGGACGGTGCGGCCGTGGTGGCGCTGATACAGGAGTGCACGTCGCTGCGGCGGCTGGATATCGTCGACGCGTTCGTTCAGGGGGAGGCGGCGGATGCGCTGCTGGGCTGGGCGGCAGGCGCGCGGGAGCTGCGGAAGCTGACGCTGCGCGACAGCGACATCGAGGAGGTCGAGTGGGAGCAGGCGGGGTTGGGGCACCCGTTTCGACGGCTGGAGGCGTACGAAATGATCGGGTACCACAAATACGGCTTCAAGTACTCGTCGTGGCTGACGAAACGCGCTTGGTGGGGCCTGACGAACCTGCGTGCGCTCTGCATGCGGGATGTGGACCTGACCGACGGCGAGGTGGCAGGGGCGATGGCGGACCTGCTGCGTACGACCCAGGTGCTCGAGCGAGTCGATCTGGCAGCGGACTGGATAGGTGGTGCGGGCTCCGGCGCCGCGCCGTGCGTGCGCAAGATCCTGCTAGCGCTGGCAGACAACACGTCCATGCGGCAGTTCCGGCTGTCCGTGCACAACGAGGAGTGCCTGCTGGGCGCCGACATCGGCGACGCGGTGGCCGTCGTGGTCAGAGACAACAGAACCCTCAGGGAGCTGGAGCTGGATCTCCAGATCTGGCATGACGCGGCGTACGACCTGGAACACAACGAGGCCATCGAGTTCCCCTCGGTTGAGGCCGTCGCCCGCGCCCTGTCGACGAACACCACGCTGGAGAAGCTGCGGCTGCCGGGCCTCGGCACGAAATGCGACGTTCCTACCGCAGGAGCGATGATTGCACGCAACACGAACCTGCGCCACCTGGGATTCTACCAGCTGGCCTTGACCGCAACCGACATGTGGTGCCTGGGGAGTGGGCTGGCAGGCATGTCCAGCCTGCAGTCGCTCGAGGTGTGGTCGGTGGCCACGCACCCCAACGACGAGGTCCCAACTGGCATCACGGGTGTGCTGCGTGATGTTTTGAGCGTCGGCGCGCACAAGAGCCCGCTGCGGCGACTGAGCCTGCGCCTCTGTCTCCTGGACGGGGACGAAGCATCGACTCTGGCGGACCTGCTCGCCTCCAAGCGCCACATGCTGCAGGAGCTCGAACTGGTGCAAAACAACATCGGCGACGAGGGGGCGGAGCATCTCGCGAGGGCGCTGCGCACGAACACGACGCTGGTGTCGCTGCGCGTCGAGGACCGCTCGATGTCGTGCGTCGGCGTGCTGGCGCTGCTGAGGGCGCTGCAGAGGAACGCTGCGCTGCGCGTCCTCGACTTCGGGGGGACCGTTGAGGTGACCCCGGACATCCAGGCGGAGCTGCAGCACGTGCATTGGCGTGTGCGGATCTGAGGCCGTAGTTGGCGGCGCCAGCCGCTTGTTGGCGTGCGTGGGGGGCCCTGCAACTGTGATCTGGCATCATGTGTGTGTGTCGTCCGTGACGGCACCCTGGAGCACGTGAATCGCGGCGGGCGTTGGTGAGAAGGTGCATCTGGTGCGCGCTATCGGCGCGGTGATGCTTGCTCGGCAGAGCAGTGCGCAACATTGTCGGCAGATGGTGTGCGCGACACTTCTATGGGTACGGGGTGGTTGTGCGTGGGGCGTTCGAGGCTCGGGCCGTGGGATCGAGATGCCGGATGAGTGTGGTCGGGCCTGCCGCTGAGAGGCGGGACCGGGGGGCCAGCACTGACATGGTCGTGTCAGGCCTACGCAACAGCGCCCCCCCAGCTGCCGCGCGGGGCGCCGTTGGGCCGCGTGGTGGTCGCGAACGGGGCGGCTGGCGTGGCGGCGATCACGTGCGTGTAGCATCGAGTGGAGCGACGGCGTTGAGCGCCAGGTGCGCTTCCCAGGAGCCCTCCCGCGCAGCAGGCTTGCACCGTGATGCAGGGCGCCGTGTTGGCGGGTGTCACGGGCCCGAGGGCTGTCCCCGATGACGAAGGCGAATGACCGCGATCGCGGCGTGCTTTGCAGCGCACTGTTGCGGGGATGTCGCCGTCTGACGTCGCGTGCCGGGCGAGCTGTCTGTGCTCTGCAGGTGGTTTCGTCGCCGTTCCGACCCATAACATCGAGGTGCTGCGGAAGGGATCCGCGGCGACCGACAGTGGCTGCTCGCGGAGCTGGGAGATCGGTCATCGAGGGTAGTGCGGCGGCGAGCGCTGTGCAGCGGGGGCGCACCTCGAGGCCCGCCGCTTCGGTCCCCTCGGGGCTGTCGGGTTGGTTTCTGCCGGAGCGGCAATGGTGAGCATCTCCAAATGCTAGCGAACGGAACGCTTGTCTGCCGCTGGCACCATGGACTCGGCTTATCCGCCAGCAAACTGGCCACGCGTTTGCCCAAAACGTTTCCTAAACGTCGCCCCTCAACGCATCGGAAATCCCCTCACGTCCTGACGCTGCGAACTTCGCGCAGGATGGCAAGAGCAGCCCACTGTCAGCGGCGGCGCTGTTCGCGCGGGTGCTGCGGGAGGTGCCTGGCGTGCTTGACAGGCTGTCGAACGAGGACAAGACCAGCCTGGCGGCGGCGCGATGGAGCACGCTGGAGGCGGTGCTGCGGGGGAGCGACGCGACGCTGAAGGTGCACCCGGAGAAGCCGGTGCTGCACGTGCTGGCGCGAGTACTGGACGGGGGGGAGTGTCGCGGACAGATCGAGCACGGGGGCGTGGTTGTGCCGGCGACGGATGCAAGGGCGCTGTTGGCGGCGTTGGACGGTGGCGGGGTGGGAGTTCGGGGCGGGATCGGATATTCAAGGTCGTGGGCTGCATTCGTGTGGCGCGTGCTGCAAGCGGCGTCGACGAGCGGGGAGGGGCCGCTGCGCGTGATGGGGCTGAGGGCGCCGCACTTCTTGTGCTGTGGCGAAGGTGGAGATGTGGCGGGCGTGGCGCTTGGGCTGCGGCTGGTCCTGGAACAGCCTGCGGTGAGGGAGCACCTGCGGCACCTGGAGCTGCCACGGCTGCAGGCGGGAACTATCGACGTGCTGCAGGGCAGCCTACGCGGGCTGACCGCGCTGCGGAGACTGAGCGTCTTGGGCTTGCCGTCGGAACGTGCCGCTAGCGGGGCGTTGGTGCAGCTTGTCAGCGAGTGCGCGGCGCTGCGGCGGCTCGAGCTCAGCGATCTACAGCTGCGAGCAGACAATCTTCGGATGCTGCTGGACTGGGCTGCGGGTGCGAGCGAGCTCCGTGAGCTGCAGCTCCTCTACTGCAAGGCCTGCCTGGACAATGCGGACGAGTGGTGGCCGCCGGGAGCGCACCCGTTCGGACGCCTGGAGGTTTACGACGCGCAGTTCTGTCCGAGGCCGGCGTGGTTGACGCAGCGCGCGTGGTGGGGCCTCACGAACCTGCGAGAGCTGATATTGTACGAGCTGGATTTTTACAAACCCGGTGACGCAATGGCGCTCGCGGACCTGCTGCGGAACAGCAAGAAGCTGGAGGTCGTCCGCCTGACGTGCAACAAAAAGGGGCCAGTCGGCGATGACCCTGACGCCGATACGTACCAAGAGCAGGTGACGGGGTTGCTGTCTGCGCTTGGTATGAACAAGTCGGTGCGGCAGTTCCGCCTGGAGTCGTACAACGGCGATGTGGATGGATTCGAAGTCTCGGAGGCGGTGGGAAACCTGCTGGGATGCAACCGCTCGCTCGAGCATTTCGAGTTGGAGCGGTTTGATGACGGGAACACGGAGAGCGACTTCCCGGGCTGCGAGGGCGTCGCCGGCGCTGCGGCGGCCAACACGTCGCTGGAACGGCTGGCGCTGCCGGGCTGCGGCCCAGACTGCGACGCTGACGCCCTACAAGAGCAGTTGGCACGCAACAAGTCCCTGCGCCACCTGGAGTTTGGCGCCGTCCGACTGAGCGCTGACGGCATGAAGGCGCTGGGGCTGGGGGCGGCCCGGATGGCGAGCTTGCAGGCGCTCGAGATCGGGCACTGCCCCGACCACGTCGTCGAGCTGCTCAAGGGGCTGTGGAGCCGCGAGCACAAGTGCAAGCTACAAAGACTGAGGCTGCAGGGCTGTGTCGTCGATCGCGCCGCGGCAGAAATTCTGGCGGATGTGCTGACGTCGAAGCACTGCACGCTGCGGGAGCTCGACCTGCGCAACAATCAGTTGGGCGACAAGGGGGCCAAGGCGCTGGCCAGAGCGCTGCGCGAGAACGCCACGCTGGTGTCGCTGAACGTGGCGGACAATCCGGCGTCGGAGGCCGGCGTGGTGGCGCTGCTGCAGGCGTTGCATGCGAACCAGACCTTGCGCGTGCTCACTCTCAATGTCGCGCCAATATTCAGCGAAGTATCGCAAATCCGGTGTACGCCAGCGATAGGTCGGGAGCTGCAGCACGTGCGGGGGCGCGTGCGGGGCCTGGAGGCCCCTGTGCAGTGGTGCCAGACCCTGGCCCCTGCCACTCAGGTTGTGTGGGGGTTGCAACCGTCTGGCACGTAGCACCGCTGTGATGTCGTGTGGGTTCGCTGACGTGTCGCTGGAGCACGCGATCCGCCCAGACTGACTGCGTTGCTGTGTCAGACCTGCGTCGCGACGTCGTGCACGCTGTGTTCGATGTCGCGCGGTGCTGCACGAGCATGGAGGAGGTGCGCCTGCCGGACTTGCGTGGCAGAGAGCGCGAGCGAGCCAGGGTCGGCGCTGCGCGATGGGGCCGCGCGACCTGGGCTCTGCCAGGCAGGCCGAACGATGACTCAGCAGGGGGACAGACGAGCGGCGCCCCCGGGCGGCCCGACGCCGCCATCACGACGCCGTACGGCCGCGGGCGGCGTTTTCGGACACTCACTCACGGACATAACGATAGGAAGCGACCGTGCTGTGCGTCAGGTACGGAGCGTCTGGGCCCCACCGGGCAGTAGATGCAGATGCTTGTGCTGAGGGCGCGCGACGTATCGGCCCGAGGTCTGGGATGGCTTCGGTTGATCTGACGGCATACATAGGTCATCAACATGCGACTGACGGACCGTATTGCGAGCGCGTCCCCCCTGACGCCGCGTGCTGAGCGATCTGTCCTCTGCAGGGGTCTTGTCGTGAATCACGCCGGGAAGGGCATGGGCGTGCAAGGGGCTTTTCGGCAGGGACGATCAGATATACGAGAACAGCGCCGGCGTCGAACCGGGGCCGGGCCTAGATCGCTGACAGCGTAAGTGCCGCGAGGGCAGCGGGTGGTCAGTTTCGGGCCGCTGCTGCCGTGGCGCGAGGGACAGGGGTGTTTGGCTGCGCGAGCAGCGATGGTGAGCACCTGTCCCTCCTGCAGGCCAGCGCGCGCTGTCCGAGGAAGCGCCGAGAAGGCACTTCCCGAGCAGTGACACACGCTTGAGCAACTCGTAGCGCGCAGCTCGCGTCGCGGACGGCGCGCAACGTTGGCTTGACACGTAGCACGCTGCCTCGTGTGACTGACGTGTGCGACGCTGCACGGTGCGCACGCAGGATCGCGAAAGGAGCGCTTCGTCAGCAGCGCTGTTCACGCGGGTGCTGCGGGAGGTGCCTGGCGTGCTTGACAGGCTGTCGAACGAGGACAAGGCCAGCCTGGCGGCGGCGCGGTGGAGCACGCTGGAGGCGGTGCTGCGGGGAAGCGACGCGACGCTGAAGGTGAACCCGACCAAGCCGGTGCTGCACGTGCTGGCGCGGGTGATGGAGGGGGGGGAGTGTCGAGGGGAGATCGAGTACAGGGGCGTGCGGGTGCCGGCGACGGAGGCGGGGGCGTTCGCGGCGGCGCTGCGGGGCGCGGAGCAGGAGCGCGTCCTCGTGGAGATGGTCGCTGTGTGGGCGGCGTTCGTGTGGCGGGTGCTGGAGGCGGCGTCGACGAGCGAGGAGGGGCCGCTGCGCGTGACGGGGCTGATCGCACCGAGCGCGATGTGCTCGATCTCGGAGGAGGCGCCAGGCGTTGCTTTGGCGCTACGGACGGTGCTGGAACACCGTGCGGCGCGGGAGCACCTGCGGCACCTGGAGCTGCCCAGGCTGCAGGCTGACGAGGCCGGCATGCTGCAGGGCGGTCTGCGGGGACTGGCGGCGCTGCAGGGGCTGCGCGTCACGGGGGCTATCGACCCCAACATGGGCGACGGTGCCGCGCTTGTGGGGCTGATACGTGAGTGCGCGACGCTGCGACGCCTCACTCTCACTCATGCGAAGATGGAGGCGAGGGATGCGGGGGCGCTGCTGCGCTGGGTGTCGGGCGCAAGTGAGCTGCGGGAACTGAGGCTGCAGCATTGTGGCATCAACTTCGAGGGCACAGACGTGCGGTGGCCGTCGGTGGGGGCGCACCCGCTGCGGCGTCTCGAGGTGTACGAAACGGTGGAGTCAGGGAAGTCGGCGTGGGCGACGGAGCGCGCGTGGCAGGGCCTGAATAATCTGCGATGCGTTGCGCTGGACTGGTTGGACCTGATGAACGCGGAGCAGGCACGGGCGCTCGCGGACCTGCTGCGGAGGAGCGAGCGGCTCAACGACGTCGAACTGAGAGCGAGCGTCGGGAGTGATCTGAACGACGGCGTGCGTGCGGTCCTGGCGGGGCTGGCGCAGAACACGTCGGTGCGGCGGTTCGAGATGTCGGTGTGGGCCCTTGAAGGCTTTCCCAGCTCAGATCTCGTGCAGGGGATGGCCGATGTGGTGCGGAGCAACCGCACGCTGCGGGACTTTGAGGTGAACGTGTTCGACTGGGATCTCGATGCTTTCTGCGACGTCGGGCCCGTCGCCGAGGCCCTGATGGCCAACACTTCGCTGGAGAAGCTCAAGCTGCCGCCCTGCGGGCCCGAGTGCGACGCGACTGCTCTTGGGGGGCGGTTGGCACGGAACCAAACTCTCCGTTGCCTGGCTTTTGCCGACCTTCCTTTCTTTGAAGACGACTTGGAGGTGCTGGGGCGTGGACTGGCCCAGATGGCTAGTTTGCAGTCCCTCGAGGTTTTGCAGGCCAGCGGCGTGGAGGTCCAAGATAGCGAGCCCGGCGTGTTGCCACTGCTCGACGGGCTGTGGGGTCGCGGTCGCATGAGCCAGCTGCGTCGCCTCAAGCTGCACCAGTGCCAGGTCATCGACGAAGACGCAGTGCGGCTGGCGGAGCTGCTCGCGTCGGAGCGCTGCACGCTACGCAAGCTGGACCTCTCATGCAACGGGTTTAGCGACAGCGGGCTACAGGCGCTGGCCGGAGCACTGCGCGTGAACACCACGCTGGTATCGCTGGATGTGGAGGGCAACGCATTCACTGATTGCGGCGTGGTGGCAGTGCTGCAGGCGCTGCGCAGGAACACCACGCTGCGCGTGCTGTCCCTGAAGAAATACGGAGACAGCCCTGCGGTTGCCGCGGAGCTGAAACACCTGCATGGATGCGTGCTTTCATGACTGTGCTGGTGTGCTGTGCAGCGGCTGCTCTCTTTGCAGTGCCTGTCTGCGCCGCTGTGACTTCGCGCGCATGATCGGTACGCGTGCTGCACGCACGCGTGATCCTCACGGCGCTGACACCGCCGGGCGATCGCAGCGGGGGCGATCGACGGTGAGCGCGTGCCGTGTCGCCACTTTTGCGACCCAGCTGTTGTGACACGGCGCGACCTTCGTAGGTCTGCGCATGATTCCGCGGGGCTCGTCCGACGCCGCCATGAAGGCGAACGGGCTGGCAAGCGAGCGGCTCAAGCCCACTACATCCACCGCATGTCGGAGGCACGCTGGGTGATCGGTGTGATCGTTGCATGATCGCGTGTGTGCTGCCAGCCCGACTGCAGCCTGGGACCCGCCCGCCCGACGTCAACAGGGCCTTGGGGCGAGCGACAGCGGACAGAAAGTAGTGGCCCAGCAGAAGAGTATCGCCCATCGTCGAGGTACGGCGGTGCGCGCCATCAGGTGCGTCGCAGTGGCGCTCCCGCCCTGGTGTGCACATCATTCGCTTTGGCTTGCCCTCTGTGCCCGGCGTGCGGCCTGCCTGGGCGGCAGCGTCCTGGAGGGTTCCGTGTACTGCGTTCAATCGATGTGCACCCGCGACTAAGAAGGTCGAAGACGAGACGTGTCGTGCCGGCGAGCTGTTGTGCAGGTGGTGGTTGGGTGCGTCCGAGTGCCGCACACGTCGTCAACGGAGACGCACCGCGGACGTCGTTCGCGTGGAGAGCAGGTGTCTCGCACAGGACCCGCGAAGGACTGCGCTTTCAGGCGTCCCCGCCGCTCGCGGAGGTGGTACCAAGAGGGCACACAGCGTGAGCCCTGCGCAGCGATGGTGCGCGACACCCCCGGCTAGCTGTGCTGCCCGCGTGTACCTTTATTAGAGAGCTGCTCGGTGCTGCATGGCAGGAACCGCTGCGTTGCGCGACCGCTGGCAGACTCTTCGCAGCCTGCGGTGTTGATGGTGCAGGGCCAACGGAGCGACGACGCGGCGGCGCTGTTTGAGCGGGTGCTGTGGGAGGCCCCCGAGGACGTGCTGGGCCGGCTGCCTGCGGAGGACAAGGCCAGCCTGGCGGGGGCGTCATGGAGCACGCTGGAGGCGGTGCTGCGGGGGAGCGACGGGACGCTGCGCATGGGCCTGGACGACGCGTTCGTGACCCCGCTGCTCGCGCGGCTCGCGCGCGACCGGACAGGCGCTTGGAAGGGGTCGGTGGAGTGCTGCGGCGTGGGGGTGTCGGCGAGGCACGCGGGGGCGCTGGTGGGGGTGCTGAGGGACATCAAGGCGCCGCTGACGCAGCAGATGAACCGCTGGCTGCACCAGGCGACGGTGTGGTGGCAGTACGTGCACGGGGTGGTCGAGGCCGCGTCACAGCTGGATCCCGGCGCGCTGCAAGTGACGAGGCTGGTGCTGCCCAGTCACGACAAGATCGGCCCCGAAGCCGTCGTGCCCGAAGCGTTCGGGGCGATGGAGCTGATGTCGCTGCAGCACGTCCTGGCGTCCCCGGCGGTCCGCGACTCGCTGCGGTGCTTGCGCTTCCGGCACCACTGGGTGGAAAAGCACCTGGCAGCGCTGGCGCCGGTGCTGCGCGGGCTGCCGGCGCTGGAGCACCTGGAGTTCCTCGCGGCGCCTGACGTGGGCTTCGAAGACGCCGGGCCGTATGACTCTGCCGGGGTCGGCCTGGTTCGAGTGCTGCGCGGATGTCCGCGGCTGCGGCGGCTGGACGTGCTGAACACGTACTTCGGGGTCGAGGGGACGCGGGACTTCCTGGAGTGGCTGTCGAGTGCCGCGACGCTGCAGCACCTGACCCTGTATTGCAGCTCGTTTGAGCCGGAGGCCTTTCAAGGCAATCGAGCACTCCCCCCGGATCTGGAGGTGTTCGACGCGCGGATGTCCACCCTGTTCTCCGTTGACGACTGGAGCAAGTACACGAGGCTGCGGACGCTCGTGGCCGACAGGGTGAGGTGCACGAACGCGTTCATGGACGGGCCGTGGGTCAACGCGGCATCCACGGCGCAACTGGAGAAGCTGCTGCGGAGCAGCACCGCCCTGCGGCGTCTGGAGCTGGGAGGGCGACTTGAGTGCAAACTTGAGTGCGCCGCGTTGTGCGCGCTGCTCGCCGCGGCGCAGGACAGCACGTCGCTCGAGGTGCTCGACCTGCCTGTGGGGAATCATGACGTCATGGGGGACGACGAGGGCGAGCTCTACCGTGTCGACGCAGTCCCGAAAATAACCAGCGCCTTGACGGGGCTGCTGCGCGGCAACGTGAGCGTCCGGGAGCTGTCGCTGAGGCTGTATGTCCCCGAACCGTACTTCGACGTTCTTGAGTTCGCGGCTGCTGTCGCGGAGAACACGAGGTTGCGGAAGCTTTCGCTCGACACCTGCTGCGTGGGGGACCAGGGCGCGGCGGCTCTTGGGGAGGCTCTGCGAGGCAGCGGTCTCATGTCGCTCACGGTTCGGACAGCGACAGGGTTCCAGTACGACGAGCCCGGGATGCGCATGTCCGCTGTCGGGGCACGGAAGCTCATCGCCTCACTCGCGTCCGGCGGCGTGCGCGTCCTGCGGGAGCTGGACCTGAGCGGCAACGACCTCGGCGGCGAGGGCGCGGCTGCGCTGGCAGCGGCGCTGCCGCGGCTGGGCCTGCGCAAGCTGGACCTGGCATGCTGTGGCATCGGTGATGAGGGGGCGGTGCGCCTGGCCGAGGCGCTGAGCGCGTCGGGGCTCCAGGACGTCAGCCTGGAGCGCAACAAGGTTGGTGATGAGGGTGCGAGGGCGCTTTCGGCGGCGATCGAGGATGGCACAACGCTGGTGTCGCTCAACCTGGGGGGCAACCGTATCAGCGAAGCGGGTGGGACGCTTTTGTCGAGCGCGCTGCAAGCCCGCGACGGGATGACATTGGACCTGCGCGACAACAAGGTCCAAAATGTGGGACGCGGGCTCATGTTGTTTCTGCACGCTGAGGAGTGCACCCAGGGCAGGATCTGGCTGTGACGCTCAGCTGCTCGCTCTCCACCGACCGGGCTCGGCGTGCAGGTGTTGGCGGGGCATGCGAGTACATGTTTCCTTGCAGGGGTGTTCCCATCATGCGATGAACGTCGCGCGTGATCCGGACGCCGCGGCCCATGTGCGCCACCTTTGCGCGGGCGCCCGGCGTCTGGCGCAGCTTCATGCGGGGCATGAGACTGTCTGGGCAGCGCTGTGCGTGATGCGCGGGCAACGCCGCAGTCCGGTTGCACGAGGCTGTCCAGTCCGCTGGCTGGCAGTGCCGCACTGGGAGGCAGAGGTGCCCCAGTCTGGGGCAGACCGCCACGCCAGATCTTGCGATCCTGCCACTCAATACTTGGTTCATGTTGCCCTGACCACTTCGAGAGGGGTGCAGGCAGTGCACTGCAGTTTCCGACCTCGCTGGGCGCCCAAGGGGGCCATGGGCCGCAGGCACGGGCCAGAGACATGCACGGACGTGGGTTCGCACAGACATCCGCGCAACGCCCGCGGTGCTGAGCGCGAGGTGCGTGGCACGGCGACCCTGCTCTGAGTGTGCATTTCGCTTGGACTGGGTGCGTGACAACGCGATGTGCATGGATGTCATCGTCGTCCAGACGGATTCGTACGCTGCGGGAGGCGATATTGGCGCAGCTGCTGACGCTACGTGCCTCTGGGCGACCTGTCGTGCAGGTAGTTTGGCGCGAGGGCCCCGCTGAGCTGAGCGCGGCGCTGCGGAAGGCGCACTGTGCGTCGCGGTGGCATTGAAGCGTTTGGGAGCACGTTTCTCGGCAATTCAGGCGCCAGGCCAACGCGAGACCTGCACTGCGGGGCAGCTCCCTCCCCTTGAGGCTCCGCTCGTGCGCCCCGTGGCACAGGCGTTTGGTGGTACCACGAAGGGTCCTCGTCGCGAGCACTTGGCTGCAGCAACATGGTGCGCGCCCTTCGCTGGCTGTCTGCGCCGCATGCGATTCGCCCGCGAGCAGCAGTGCGCTCTGGCAGTCGCTCGCGCTCGCGAGCTGGGCACACATATCGCACCTGCCCTTCTCTGCGACGCCCGCCATGCAGGATCACCAGAGGAGCGGCGCAGCGGCGCTGTTCGACCAGGTCCTGTGGGAGGTGCCGGGCCACGTGCTGCCGTGGCTGTCGCCGGCGGACAAGGCCAGTTTCGGGTCGGCGTCGTGGAGCACGCTGGAGGCGGTGCTGCAGGACAGGGACGCGACGCTGCGCGTGGACCGCGGGGGCAGCCTCCTCGCCTCGCTGGCGGCGCGGGTGAGGACTGGGGGCCTGCGAGTGCGGGCAACCCTCGAGTGCTGCGGCGTGGGCGTGGCGGGGGCGCGCTCGCCGGACGTCCTGAACGCAGCGCTCGCCGACATCGCGGCCCCGCCGCCAGAGGGCCACACGCGCTTGTCGATGGAGTGGTGGCACTTCATGTTGCGGTTGATTCAGAGCACCGATGCCGACACGCCGCTGCTGACGGGGCTGGTGCTGCGGTCGCTCGCGCTGTCCGGCGCCGAAGACGCGGAGGTGACGGTGCTGCAGCACGTCCTCAGGTACAGACCGGTGAGGGACACGCTGCGGTGTCTGCGGCTGCGGCGCGAGTGGGACGAGGCGCAGCTGGCGGAGACACTGCGCGGCCTGAAGGCGCTCCGCCACCTGGAGCTTGTCGATCCGGCGTGTTATTGCGACGACGACGAGGACCTGCGCGGGGTGGAGCTGGTGCGCGCGCTGCGCACGTGCCCAGGGCTGCGTCGGCTGGACTTGTCGGGCGCGTATTTCGGGTCGGAGGGGACGCGTTTGTTCGGGGAGTGGCTGTGGAGCGCCACGGAGCTCCGCGTCTTGACGATAACGACCTGCGGCTTCTCGCTGGACCCCCAGCATGATCCGATACCATGTCGTCTTCCACCCAGCCTGGAGGTGTTCGAGGCGACGGAAGCTACGTTGCCCTGGGTGAACAACTGGGACGAGGTCGCGAATCTGCGCAAGCTCGTGATCCGCCACGTGGAGGCGCCGCAGACACCTGACCCGAGCGGAGAGTACGACGATTGGTTTTTCGAATCGGATGCAAGGCGCCTGGCCAGCGCTATTCAGGGGAGTCAGGTGCTCCAGCACCTGGAACTCACGACGGGTGAGACTGCTAGCTTCGACTACCACGGCGCGGGGACGTGCGCCTTGCTGGCTGCGGCAGCTGAGTGTCGCAGCCTGGAGGTCCTCGACCTTCGGGTGCGCCGGTACGGCAGAAGCGTCGCGGAGCTGACCAGCGCACTTGCGAGGCTGCTGCGACGGTGCAAGCGCGTAAGGGAGGTGTCGCTCCACAACGTGGGCGGGTGCCCGTTCGACTTCGCTGCAGTGGCAGCAGCCCTGCAGGAGAGCGGCGTGCGCAAACTGGTGCTTGATGAATGCGGCGTCGATGATGATGGCGCGGCGGCTCTTGCAGGCGTCCTGCCCGAGAGAGGTCTCGAGTGCCTCTCGATCACGACCTTCTGTCAGTGCAGCGTCATCACCGCGGTGGGAGCCTCTCACCTCGCGACCCAGCTCGCCCGGACGAGTCTGCTGCGTGAGCTGGACCTGTCCGGCAATCGCATCGGCTGCGACGGCGTGGCAGCGCTGGCGGCCGCACTGCCCCGGTCGGGCGTCTGCAAGCTCGGGCTGCGCTCTTGCGCAATCGGCGGCGTCGGGGCAAGGTGCCTGGCGGCGGTGCTGAACCACACATTGCTGCGCGAGGTCGACCTGTGCTCAAACAAGATCGGCGACGAGGGAGCGAAGGCGCTGGCGGTGGCGATCGCGGACAGCGCGACGCTGGTGTCGCTGGATCTGAGTTGCTGCGATATCACCGGCGCGGGTGGCATGGCGCTGTCGGAGGCGCTGCGTGAGGCGGCAGCGGTGGAGACGCTGGATCTGCGCGGAAACAATTTCAGTGCTGCAGATGTCAGGGCAATGCGCCACATGCACAGCGGCAACAGCGACAGGATCTTGCTCGCGGACTGGTGGGCTCCTGCGGGACGCTGATGTGAGCGGAAGCCGACTCGCGGCGACAAACGTGCGGCGGTGGTTGATCTGTCAGAGCATGGCGGGTGCGACAACGCACTGATGGAAGCAACCGACTGCGAGCCGCGAGGCCGCCACCTGCGCGCTCCGGGCCCGCCGCGGTCGTGCTCATGCTGTACGTCGGAGCGCCGGGCGCACCGAACCCGCTGCTGGCGCCGTGCCGCGTGTCAGTCGTGTGACTGACTGGTCGGACGGGCCTCGCGCTGCCCTCGATGGCTCTCTGGTCACGCACTGCAGCGCAACGGGGCACATCGGGCGTGTCAAGGAGACGGGGGAGGCGTTTGTCAAGGTCCAAGTCGCAGGCGAGTCGCTTGACCGCGTCCCGCCCGTTTCCGCCGCTTCCAAGTGCTTGCCGTGCCCGCTGCGGCCCCGGTGGCGGTCGCAATGCGCTGCGGTTGAGCTGTCGGGGATGTTGCATGTTCAAGGACCCAGAGACTTGTAGGATGTCTGGATTGCGGGCTTGACAGGGCGCTGCGCGCGTGTCGCGTTCAATCATTCGGCGCTCAGCATTGAAAGCTCGCACACCTGATACGCAGGTGCCGCGACCAGCGGGCGTGGACAGGGAGCTCGTGTACGTGACAAGACGTCCGCTCAGGCCGCGGGACGCGGACGGCACGGTCCGGCTGCAACGCGGGCGCGAGCGACGCATCCATCTCTTGCCAGGGCTCGCACGGAGGCCACAGGGCGCGGGGACCGCTGCATCGGCTGAGAGCGGAAGCGCATTGACGATCATGGTGAGACAAGGCGCGTTTGTCGTGGTGATTGCTCCCGTCGAGGCCAGGCGCGAGGTGCTCTCTGTGCCCCTGCAAGTCGTTGAGAACGGCGCGCTGCGCGTCTGCAAATCGTCACGACGCTGAGACAAACGCCCTCTGACGTGATGTGTACTGTTATTCACCGCGCATGCAGGTATCCAGGCGCGCACGGCGCGGGCCGGTGCTCCTCGACGCTGTGCTGCGCGAGGTGCCGTGCGTGTTGGACAGGCTGTCGGACGCAGACAAGGCGAGCTTGGCGGCGGCGCGATGGAGCACGCTGGAGGCGGTGCTGTGCTGCAGCGACGTGACGCTGAAGGTGCACCCGCGGCAGCCGGTGCTGCATGTGCTGGCACGCCGACTGGATGGCGGGGAGTGCAGGGGCCAGATCGAGTACAGGGGCGTGCGCGTGCCGGCGACGGATGCGGGGCCGCTGCTGGCGGCGCTGCAGGGGTCGGTGCTCAAGGACGCCGCCCAGGACTCGATCGCGAAGTGGGCGGCGTACGTGTGGCGGCTGCTGCAGGCGGCGTCGCGGAACGAGGAGGGGCCGCTGCACGTGACGGAGCTGCGCGTCCCGGTGTGGAAGGGCACGGACGACGACGAAGCGGCGGGCGCGTTGCTGGCGCTGCGGTCGGTCCTGCAGCACACTCTGGTGCGGGAGCACCTGCGGCACCTGTGGGTGGCGGGGCTGCGGCAAGACACGCTCGGGGCGCTGGAGGGCAGTCTGCGGGAGCTGGCGGTGCTGCAGGGGCTGAGGCTGACCACGGTGCTTGCGCCCGTCGAGGAGCGGGACGAGGGTGCGGCGCTGGTGGGGCTGGTCCGCGAGTGCGCGTCGTTGCGGCGGCTGGAGCTGTGCGGGGCGCACGTCGAGGGCGACGCGGCGGAGGAGCTGCTCGGCTGGGTGGCGGGAGCTCCGGACCTGCGCCAGCTCGCCTTGGGGGGTTGCAAGGTGAAGGTTGCTGACGAGGAGCAGTGGTCAGGGCCGCGGACGCCGTTCGGGCGGCTGGAGTCGTACGAGGCGAGCGATAAAGTCGAGTGGAGCTGGGTGGCGGGGCGTGCGTGGTGGGGCGTGGCTGGCCTGCGGCGGCTGAAGCTCGTGGCAGACCAGATGGACGCGGGCAAGGCACGGGCGCTGGCGGACCTGCTGCGGACGAGCACGACGCTATGGGAGGTGGATGTGGAGGCGGAGTGGTACCCTGAGGGTGCGACTGA